AAAAAAAAATCCCCCAACATGCAGAGCCATGGTGTCGTGTGCAGCACCTAACACTTTCTCCCACCTTAAACTAGACTTCAGTCTGTGTGCTTGTTTCCCTTGTTTTCGAAGCATTTTTGATAAGTTGGGATCTCGTTTTTTGCTTTTTGGACATTTACAAAATATTATCACATTTATTTTTATATCCATGGGTCCGAAGAAGACGACGTCTATTGTATAATTAATAATTAATAATTGTATAATTAAATCGTGATATCATAAAAAAACATGAGCAAGGTGTGCGAGTTATAAATAAATGTTTCTTCTTGTAAATACATTTTTCTTTTCTAAAAAATACTTAAGAAAAATAACTGAGGTGGTTTTTTGGGAGTTAAAACGTATTAATGGCATTTCAATTAATTTTAATGAGGAAAATTGCTTTGTGATACGAGCAATTTGACATACAAGCAAGGTTACGGAACGTATGTCTCGACATACTACTGTATTTATTTATATAAACCATTTACGCATACTCTTAGACACAACTTCTGAAATGGTTATTGAATTAAAATTTAATTAATAATTAAGATATGACGGCAGTTTCATTTCGGTACAATTCTCATTAGCCTTATATTTAGTTCCAAATTTTAACCTGTTTATTTTGTAATAATTAAACTTATTTAAAGTTCCTTCCTTTCTCATAAATATCGTAAGAAGCGACTGCGGAAACTTAATGATCGAGGGATGGGCAGCAACGTCGCTCTTAAAACATCTCAAACATCTAAAACATAAAAACATCTTAAAACATCTAAAACATAAAAGAGCAACACGCAAGTTTCTTGCTCGTTCTTCTTGTGATGAGACAGCTTTCCGAACGAGCGGTAGATTAAAAAAAAATGTAATGACTTTTCAAAAGTGCTTCAATGTAAGTTTATTTGAATAAATAATTTCTATTCTCCAGGACCTAATTGCGGTTACTAATCCGTCTGCCAAGCATGGCAACTACTGGTTAAACCCCCCTTATGGAGAAACTCTGTTAACTGTCCATATCAACTGTTAACAATGATGATGAAACTTAAATAGTAATAATAATAATTTATTTGCCAGAAACATAGATAACATGATGTTACAGTTTGTTTTTTAATATTTAGTATATTAAAAAGCGCGGTATGTAATATTACAAAGAGCTTACGTACAAAGTAAACTTTCCAATAGGTGAATAATCTCGAAATTAATTGGTCATATAGAAACATCATCAGGTGGGCCGTCAGCTTGTTTGCCATTCTAAGTTGCATAAAAAAACATTACAAACAACATTGATTTAATTGTGTACAGTATAAATTAAAACGTCAGCAAAAAGTTTATAGAAATAGTTGTCTATATCTTATACGATGCAAGGTGTAACGGAATAAGAACATAACGTCACACTCCTTGGGGAGACCTGTCCCCAGTAATGGGACGTTAATCAAACATTGCATTTATAGTAATAGTTGAGACTTGTATATATGTATTTATAAGTATATATACATTTATACCTAGAAGCTATTCGTAGATCCTCTGTGGTTACACTTTCAGTGAAATTTATTAGTGGGTAAATAGTACCCAGTACTTAATTAAGTTTGCCTACCTATTTAATTAAATGTGCACAACAGCGTTCTTATTACTAATTCTAGAGTATCCTAATTTCGGTTAATGGAAATAACTATGTTTAACTAAAGTACCATGTTTAAAGTACTCCTATAGAGCCATTAAGTTTATTATTGGGTTTTGAGATATATATTAACTTGTTATTAACATTCAAATCTGTACATTATATTAGCCATGAAAATATGATTAAATAAAATTATTCTTAGGGTACCGTCAAAATAGGTTCAGTAATTTATAAAATATAAACGAACTAAATTTCTAACTCTATGATGAGTCCTGGCCATTTTTGGTCACAGCAACCACTTTCACTTCGCTATTTTTAATTAATTGTCTGTCAGGGGGCTGTTATTGACGTTGATGCGCTCGAATGTGATTTACCTTTGTGATGTGATATGATCTTTTTAGCAAAGGTTCACATAAAGGGCATGCAAGCACACCATCACTGTTGTAATGATAATATATTGCTGCGGGGGGAAGGGATTGTTAGTAATACGGACTACCAGTACTATTGCTAGCAATACCTATACCCTGGTAGGTCGACCTGCACGTGGTCCCCCCTGGATACTGTCGTGCTGAATTCCAGGTGTATTCATCACGATGGGCTAACTGGCCTGCCTTTTTACTCTTACTATTAAATTATTATCAATTGGAGGTAATATATATATATATATATATATATATATATATATATATATATATATAAGACATGATATTTCAAAATTGTTTTTAATACCTATTAATAATCTTTTAATTCTATTTATTGAATACGTACCCACACCTATATCAGCTTGAGCATTTAAATAGGAAGTTGTTTAAAAGAATTGATTGATAGCTAATATGAATGGCAATAAGTCAGCTTCTTTAATTTCTTCTCTTAAAGACTTCCAGATGAAGTTGAAACAATTGTGGGAAATAACAAACCTAGTGAATTTGTTAAATTCCCATTATACGTATACATACATAGACAAATATTTTATTTGACTTTCAAAATATCCTTGACATATTACACATCGCCATATAGTCCTAAACTAAGCAGAGCTTGTATTATGGGTACCAGGCAAATATTTTTTTCGTAATATGTACATGTTATAATATATAAAAAATACCAAAGCCAATACTAACAGTATACTACCAGTAGTAATACCCATGAATACAAAAGTTTCTTTTGTACGAGATTCGAACCCGCGATCATTGGATATTAAGGCGGTATATTAAACCGCTACGCCATCGAGGACTAAAACTCACTTTTCAGTGATTATCTACTAACGTACGGTCACGCTAAATTTCATGCGACATTGAGTAATGGTCAATGTTATATTAGACGAAGGTTGGAAACTTTTTTAATATTCCGGTTGGTGTGACAGGTGACAAAGCATTGGGTAATTATATGTAAGTAGTTTTCCACGTAAGTACATACTTAAGTGAAATTTATTTCCCCCAGATTTCTCCTAAATACTTATAGAACTGTTTTCCTACCTGAAAAACTAGGAACCTTTCAGTAAATTGAAATTACAGGATTCGAAGACATACACCTACACGGGTATAAGCGATACCATAAGAATAAATAATACATTAGTGTTCTATGTAGTCCATGGTGTTGTTTTTGTCTATAAATGACGGTTGCCTCTTTCCTTTAAGTGGATTATTTTATCTTTAGGATTCCGTACCAAAAAGTACAAAAAGAAACTTACGGTGCGGTGAGGCTTTCCTATCCATTTGTCACAACGCTTTATCTCAACCGTGTAATGTTACTGATTTGAAATTTTAAATAGTTTTCCATATAATTGACCTACTCGTGAATATATCGCAATTTATTTTTTCTAGGCATATATTTTTTATTTGTTTATCTAATTATGTAATACTTTATGTTATAGTTTAATTGTATTAAATTCCCTAGCCATTACTATGTGTGAGAAGTTACATGACCTTTAGTGATTAAAATATTACTGCAATTATTATTAAAATCTTTGCCTCATGTTATAATCTTTGCCTTATAATTACAATGGGTGGCACATTACATTATGTCATGTCCATGATATTGTTTATAAATTTATATGTGACTACCATATGCTATCAGGTGAGTTCTCAACTTGTAGATACATCAGAAAAATTAATATATAAAACTTTATCAATTTTACCTTAAATTCTTACGGGCCCACCGAAATTTGCAAAATTGGATAATTTAATATTTTTAATTAAAAATTTTCAATTCCGTGATGATTTATAATAAAATTAGGGGATAACAAATAGTCTAAGTTGTGTTCTACCCTTTAACTAGCCTATATAAGTGTTTATTTTCTAGACATTTTCTAGACACTATCGATTCACTCATAAAAGATAACCCCTCATGAAAGCTGTGAAGTGATATTTTGACTTGTAATACTTAATTCATCATTCAAAGGTTTTACTTAAAAGTTACCCTGACCTTTACGACAGCAATGTAGGTAACGAGGGTGCGTCTACAATAAACCATGTTGTTTATAAATTAATCCTATACAAACAAAGGGTAGACAGCAATTCACTGTGTCACTGAGCGTGGCCTCTGCGGATTCTAGTGGATTAAAGTAAATCCACAAGAATCTGTATATTATACTACGCATTAAAATAGATTTAAATTGTAACATTAATCATACCACAATCGCATTGTAGATACCTAGATAAATCAATATAGCTAAAGAAATCAATTTAATTTTTTTTTGTTATATTACTTGTGTTAATTAAACTGTATCTCATCCATAATAATAATCCAGGAATCTATTTATAATACGTGGAACTGGGACATTATGCATGTTACACCCACCATAACATAATAATACATTTACGTCTATCGATTATGGGTACGGGTCTCTTCCCATTAGAGAAGGATATTAATACCATGCTGACCTATATTTATACCATGAATTAATTATTTCTAAAAAGTAAACGACTATTTTTAAAAACACTGCAAATTTTATTTATTTAAATCACAAGTTTTTCCAATTCTAAAATAGCTACTTATATGAAAGTAATTTTTATAATATTAAATTCATTAGAAAGGTTAAATATAGTACAGAATTTTTGTATTTAATACATAATGTATTAAATACGTTATCTATTAAATTCATTATGTATTTAATACAAAATTTTGTATATCCTTACTTTATAATAATATAAATGCAAAAGTGAGTTTGTTCCTTTGTTTGTTTATTATATGTCTTAACGGCTTAACCAGTACTTATGAAATTTAGTATACACATATTACATGAGATAGAGTAGGATATAGGAAGGTATTCTTATCCTGGTCAATGAACATATCTAAGCGACGCTGGCGATGTTGTTGATAAAAGCTAACAAGTAATAAAAGTACTAAAGAGAGGATTATTAAAACAAACATACACAGCAATATCACAATTTAATGGACAATTATTCAAAATACAATAGATATCGGTAGACTACAAATTCGTGAATATTAAATATTATAAGTTCTTTTGAGGATGAAAATCATTTCTACAGTACGTTTAATTTATTTGGTAGCATGATATTAATAAAAATTATTTAATAATATAGATAATTGCCTAGTAAATTATTTCTTACTTTTTAATATAGAATTACTAATAACTCTAAGGTCAAAATAGCTAAACAAATTGTTTGACTATTGAGTCATGCGTCAAGCACTCCATTGAAATTTATACTCCATGTGAAGTGCAAATGAAAATAGATTATGAACTCGTGACAGGATGTTAATGGATGCTTAGAACTGTTCCTTGTCATCAGTCAGAGGATATTAAGGAATACCTATGTTCAGTAGTAAACGAGATAGGCTTGAATTCTAGGAAGGTCCTAAAAATTAATGTTTTGATTTCTCTAACTCAAATATTTAACACAAAATATATAATTTTTAACACAATATAATTAATAGGAAAACTAAAACAATATTAATATAACAGAGGACCACAAAAATGTAAGGCGTCTTAATGCAATTGCATAGGTTTTACTTTCCTATTACATCGGAATGATAAAATCGTGTGTACCGTGCTCCGATGAATAATTAAAAGCGCTCATTCGTGACGAATGTATTATCGATTACGCTGCGGAAGTGGAACTGTCAGTTCTTAAATTATTCAATTACATTTAAGTCATTAAGCCTGATAGATGGGTCGTTTCGCCATTGGTATCATTGATAACTTTTGAAAATCAATATCCAGGAAAAATGGGAACGAAACTTTAATATATGGTATTTAGTAGTAAGCGTGACATGTTAGATTTGATTTGTGTGGCATGTTAAATTTGACTTTGGAACAAGTAATCTGGTGTAAAAACCCTGTACGGAATCCTCGTCCACGTAGGTAGGTATGTACTCACTGACACCCACCTTTCTTTTTTTCTATATTCACTGTAGGCAAAAAAGCACCATTTAATACTACATTCTGTCATATCAAAAAAAAAATACTTTTTGTCAGATACACGAGTCTCTTCATTGTTTTACGCGGAATTACAATATAAATATTCTGTATTGTCATCAAAAATACCTTATTAGTGACATCACTTTCCATCATGTGAGCCGTCGACTCGTATCCCACACCAAATTGTAGGTACCTATGCAAATAAAAGAGTCTACCTACTCTTAATTTAAAATCTATATTGAAAATTCTCAGATAGAAACTTACATCTCAATCACCTCATATAACCTCATGAATATATGAGATTTTTGTCCGTATGATTTTATTGTTGAGTTTTGTATTGTTAAAACTAAAATATATAATATCTATAAACAAAAATACAGACAAACAGAACTTGTATACCTAAATAAGTACCCCATGTTACAACCCAAACTATAATACAGAATATATTGTTAGATACATATATCGTGTTGTGAACTATCGTCTGGGACGACCCGCCGACGTCACGTACAGTGCCTCTAAAATAGCCAATATGTTAGGGCAAAAGACAGATTGTGTCATAAACAGGCCAACGACGCATATAATCATTCCTGGAAGACAGTCCATAAGACCCTAGCGTATATATATTTATATGTCATACAGATTTTGTACAAATGTAGAGTTTAGACACACTAAATTACTGTAATTTTTAAAAAAGTAAATTACGTAATTGAATATTTTATTTCAATTTCAATGAATATTCGTTATACACAAAAACGACTTCAATTGTGGCATAATCAGTTATTTTGATTTATAAACTAAACTATTGAATCGATTTTGATAAAATTTCTGGGGAACCAATCTGTAAATACATACTTTCAGATAAAAGAAGAATTTGCAAAATCGGTTTAGAACTAACGGAATTATGAGGTAACAAATATAATAAAATTCAACCGAATAGAACCTATGCAATAAAGTGTAAAATAAACAAATAAATAAACCTCCATCTTTTTAAAGTTAGTTGAAAAATAACAACTTACTATTTTATAGTTACATTTCTTTAATAATCTTCGTTTCAGACAATAATTTATCACTTTATTAAAGATTAAATTCTTTTTTTATATAACATGGATAGTAATAGATCATTGTCTATAGACATGAACAACCCCTAAATACACAGAATACACTGAATGCCCAAGTCTAAATTAAAAATTAAGAAAAGAATTAGAAGTTTCCTTACAACCATTTTATTAAATAAAATATTTAGTGTTCACTTTGTCATAATTTAACCAAAGAGAACGTTTTTTTCTCTGAGGATTAACCTTCAAGGATCAATCTTTGAATCAAGATTTATTTCATGGATTTACTCCTTCGTAGATTGCCTGGGCGTAGAGTTGAGGGTCGTGTTCGGCTCTCTAAAGTATTTTGTTGCAAACCATTTGAGTCATAATTACTTATATTTGCCAACTTAATCAAACCTTTTTTATTCTTTATTGTACACAAAATATAATGTTAACCACAATTCATTTGAAACAAAATGTACAAAGGCGAGCTTATCTCTAGTAAGAGATTTCTTCTAGCAAACCTTTTCATGTGAATTGTATGTTATTTTAAAAAACCTTGAAAAAAGAATTAATATGTAAGTTATATATAAACCGTATAAATTTATTAAAAATCAAAAATCATTATTTTCAGCCATTAGTTATCCTCTACTGAATATGAATCCTACCATATGGAACGGTACTAAACCACCTGCATCCACTGATCTACGATACATTTAAAGTTCTTGTTCTACTATCTAAAACGAGGCTATCCCGCTCTGCATTTGCTTGTATGAGGTACTCGAGAACCTTTCTTCCCCGGCGGTTGTCGGTTCTTTGGGCTATATAGTCAGCCCACTGCAATTATTGCAATAAGCAGCCTATACTTATCCTTCATACCATATCAGTTACTTGATTAATTGGTTGATCTATACGAACACTCAAATACTAAAAGTATTTAAGATATGGAAAATATTTATTAATAATTTATCTATGCTATTACGCAAAATGTCCCACATAAGTACAATAATATTACAAGATAATTTTATGCGATACATTTCTATACAAAATTTCAATGAAGCACTTCTGTTGATCTATTAAATTTATGAATAACATTGGTAAAGGTTAACGTTAACAATGAAAATGAAGCCTTGACGCTACGATGTAAGATTTATTCCAGAAATCGCTATTCGAGGATCTTCTGATCTGGCACATTTCTAATATCACTGATGCGGAAATTGGAATGATTATAAGAGATATGTATGCAAATCCGTAATCTGTATAATAAGACTAGAGAAATATGTGAATTAAAATAAATGTTATCATTTTTGAAATAAATCAATTTAAATCATTGATATACAATACAATCTCTATACATTCTTATTGTTAGTGTATAATATTTATTTTTATATTAAATACTTATATAAATTAAGGAACTAAATCGTTTAATATATTTATACCAAGAAATTGCTAAAAGGTATATTTATTCTATGCAAAATTACAAATTAATAACACTTTTAATTTTGATTAATTACCGAAAAAGTTATATTTAAATGTATTACTGGCATATATTTCATTTGTAAGTACTATAAAGTATCAATAAATAATTATATTAATAGATTTATTAAAGTCGAATCTTCAATGTATTTGTTCCCATTCGTTAATTCATTGATTTAACAATAAATAATTTTAACTTCAAAATAATAATTTACATTAGTTATTATTGGCCAGTCATTAAGTCAATTTGCTAAACTTTCAATAAACTTGGCACCAATTTCAGAATTAATTCGAATATCAAAATATTATTAGCCATATATGCTAATAATCTATGTAATAGGTACATCACGAGTATCTTTGGAAATAACAGCAAAATCTACATATTTTAATAGTTAAATTTATTTTACCTAGACTACTAATATAATTTTTCAATAGAAATATTAGGCTTTATGTTATCTGATAGAAAATACATTAAACTTCCTATAAGACACGAATGATAAGAAAACATTTTCAAGCACATGTAGATTTTTTAAAATGTAATACCTATTTAACAAAATATAGAAAATATGATCCGTATTTTGTTATAGATCCATTCAATTAACTCAGGCAGTGTATTTTTAAATATCACTTTCTAGCAGTCCAGGCCGCTTCGGTGTATCCTCATAATCTATAAGTTCAATATCATCCATCTCTTTAGATGCGCACGGTACGGAATCGCCCATTAAATGAGCCTGACCATTTTTATCATTTTTAACATCTGTTTTCTGAGTTCCGTCTTCCAATCTGAGGATTTCTATTTCAACACCAGTCTCGTCCTTATCGACCGCCGTCCTGCTTGGACGACGGCCTTGTTCCTGTCAAGTGGCTTGCATATTGGCGAATTCGCTGTCCTCGTCTGTTAAACTCTTTTCAGCGAGACGAAAGCTTTCTAAAAACTCATTTAAATCTACCAAACCGTCCTTGTTGATGTCCATCAGTCGGCAAATATCAACCAATTGCTCTTGAGTCATAGGATTCGGCATATATTTTCCTAATAATTGACAAGCTTCTGAAAACTCTTCCAATGTGATGTACCCTGTAAAAAATATCTTATGGTAGTTCCTGATAACTATATTTATATAACATTAAACACGGATCAGAATAAACATATACCTGAATTGTCTTTATCTAGAATTTTGAATATCGTCTCGAGACTCCTTTTATTCTTATAAAGAGTCTCCACTACGGTAGTGGTATCAGCTTTACGGCCCATTTTCTGTAATCAGACACAATACCATTAACATAATTATAAATCTAATGTGTTGATGTGACTTGTTAAACCCAACTTTTTAACATTATAACTGCTTTTTAAATTCTTTGTGTAAGTAAGAAATAATATTGTAAACACAATTCAATAAATTTAAAATTTCTGCTCGTTATAATATTCGACTGCTTTCGGTATTAACTTACATTGGCATATAGATCAAAAGTGTCCATATACCGCACGCGTCGTGTCTCAAGATCAGTTCGCACCAATTTATCCTTCAGCATCCTCCAAGGAAGACCAAGATGTGTTATTTCTTCCATGGCCGTGCACCAATCACCAACCGTTATGTAACCTGCATGAAAACCTTTCTCTGTATTTACCTATTGATATTTCTCTTTTTTCATTAGGTTATATTGAAAAAAAAAAACAATAGGTTCAAAATATATAACATATAATACCTAAGTTAGATACATCACGTATTTATTAAAATATTTATTCAAGACATGTATACAAATATCTGTACATTAGATATTTAATAATAAAGAAGTATAGAATTCCTAAGTCGGTTTTTTATATCACCAAGCGATTACCGTAAGCAATAAACGCTTGCAATACGCGCGCATTACCAACCCTGAAGAAACCTCTTTACCCCTTAATCGATTTATCTTATATTAATATATATATATATATATATATATATATATATATATATATATATATATATATATATATATATATATATATATATATATATATAAAATCAATATTAATAACACGAGAGCCTTCAATAGGTTAACATTGAATCGTCTAATTATATATATCGTATACAAGAATCCACTGTTTGAAAATTACTTAACTGTAATTACTAGTACATTTTAGACCCGTTCGAATAACACAAAATTCCCTAACTTTTCTAACATAGCATTCCACTTCGTCGAACTTGTTAAGACGAATACCGTAACTTTGTTGAATGATGTATTGATGTTAAGTGAATTATATAAAGAGACCTACCACTCTGATCTATGTCCATACTACGAAAAGTAGCTTCTAGTGGTCTCCGTGCCATCATTATCTGGTTGTGTAGTTCTCTCATAGCGGAAGACTCGACGAGACCGACACGTTGTCGGAATGTGAGGCGACGGGTGCGTGATACAGCTGCTGTATATTGTACAAACTGTCGCTCTAAAGAATTGCCACAGAGCTTCAAGTATGCCCCTTTGTTAGAACCGAGTTCATAGTAATTGGATGCTGAGAAGATGGTTATAACCTGTTGTAAGAGAAATAATTTTATTATTTTAACCTCATTAAGCAACAATAGACGCTTAAAGGCTAAAATTATCAAGGATATAAACAAACATTTCCCTAAGAATTATTTGTCATTTATAATAACCAAATTTTAATTATAAACATTATTATCTTTAGAATAACACATTTTTCTAAATGGATGAAATAAAATTATATTCTCCCCTACGATATCGGTTTACGCTGTCGAGGGACCAGTGAGAGGTTTTTAAGATAAGAATGTTAGCTGGTCAATTAGCCCATCATGAAAAGTTCATTAAGAAATAAGCACAATGGTTTCCAGGAGGAACCACGTGGAAGTCGATCTGATAAGGTATATTGCTAGCAATGGGGTTTTAGAACCCATTACTAACTAACAATCTCTTTCCTCCCCACAATAACCCATTAGCGTCCCACATCTTAATTCAGCTGTTAAGAAAGTCTGGTCTTAAGAAGATCTTTAAGAAGATTTTTTTTTATGAAAATGACTCATTGTTACTATTATGTTATCTGGTAGGCAGTTTAATAAAAATAAAGGCTTTCTTTAATTTTTTTAATTTTATACAAACATAACATAAAAGTTTCAATAGTTGATTTTTATGGCTGATAAAATTCTTTACATAAAAATGAGTAACGATATTTTGTATTCTTAGTCTGCCATCATACAGAGTATCTAAATAAAAAATAAACATGTTTCCTTAAAATACTAACATTTCCATTATGTAGTAACTCGTATCCACCAGGCTTGCATTCATGACTTCGAATAATAAAGCTCAACTTGTTCTTCTGTAGAAAGGAAGTGGTTACATCAGGCCCAAAATAAGTACCAGCTCCACGCAAGGCGTTCGCGACGCAACCTCCATTACACTGGGGATCTGACCATAAGATGTCAAATACCTGTGGGAATAAAAGTACATATGAAGGTGTCTCTTAAAATATATTTGTTTAACATTGATATACAGGTAGCCATATCTACGGAAGAGTCAAAAACTGTTCTTTTCGTATTTGTGACCTCCTAACTCCGTCAGTTATAAATCGATTTGGTATATTCTTTTTTTTTTACCCGAAAGTATATACTTACAGATTGGTCTCCTAAAAATTTTATCAAAATCGAACTAGTAATTTATTTTAAACATCAAAATAATTGATTTACCCTTATTTGAAGCCGGGTTTTTTTTGTGGACCACTATCATAATTATTATTATAATAATAAGAGCATTTCTAATATATTAAATCAAACCACTATGTGGTTATTCGTACAATAAAGACTATAAACGACGTTTCTTTAGTTGATTGATTGAGTTTACCGGCACGAATCATGAAAAACTCGATAAAGGAAGTAATGAAAATAACGGAAAGAAATAAGTGAAAATAACAAGGTTTGCAATCATGTATTCTCTATATTTTAGTCATTAATATTTAAATTCCTCAGTTTGTTTAAGAGATGTACGAGTATAAAAATATCCTATTAATATTATAATCCTATGAATATAATAATATATATTATATATACGTATATTAACATATATATATATATATATATATATATATATATATATATATATATATATATATATATATATATATTTAACATTGTGTCTTAGTAATCCCTTATGGATTCCCGCGATACAGGTTCACCTAGTGCAAGATCCAATGTACTCATATTGTATATTTCTCGTGTTTAATTAATAAATGTATTATTAAAAATAAATTATAAATGCCAAAATTTGATAGATGGATAGATATTGGTTACTCTTTTACACAAGATTTACTAAACGAATTTGAATTAAATTTGGTACACGAGTAGGTTATATCCTAACTTAGCACTGAGAATACATTGTGTATTTACTGATTCTCGCAGACGAAACCGCGGTATATAGCTACTATTTTTATAAAAATGCATAATACATAAATGCTATCTATAGTTATCTCCACAATATTATATCAGGCCAGCATCTAATATATCATTGAATATATATCTACAGATACTATGTACTCTGTGCAGTAACTAAATCTTAATTCCGAATAATAATAACATACACAAGCTTACGTGCCTCGTGTGTAATTCACAGAAATAATCATCTTTGCGAAAATATTTTTACTAATAAATCAATTTTATTTTCATTTTAATTTCATTGTTCAAACTCGTATAATTCAGTTAATGTGTCAACTTCTTAAAATAAAATTAACAGAAATACTTTAATAGAAAATAAATTTAAAGGTAAACTGACAATTTAAAATAGCCTGCAACCGCTCCGTTCTGCTCAATTCTGCGGTTGCTAAATTATCCGCCCACGCAACGGCTGTCACAAAATACTCCTGATGTGTAAAAATGTTTTAACAATATAAATTCTATCATAATTATAAAATGTATTTTTCATTATAAAAAATATACACAGTAAAATAAAAATAAAAGTGAATAAATGTACTCCTGTACCTTGATTTACTATCCGATAAATAATCTCATTGCACTCAATATGTAAAGTAATAAATCCTATTAAGTTATTAGTTTATTCATCGAGAGCATAAAGTGAAGTACAGTTAATTGAATGTCGTTTCGAAAACCTGCAAAAACCATAGCATAGTTTTCATTTATAAAAAAAACAACCATTCTACAATCTGATATGTATAAATAACCTATTTTTACAAAGTTCTTACATAGTGTTCTCTAAACAGTGTAACCTTGTGATCCTATAGTGAAATAATACAGATAAAACTCATTCCGTTCAATTTTGCGAGATGTAAAAACAGACCGTACTATGAGAGACGTCCTTTTTTATTTTAATATCTACGTAACAGTAATATTATAAATTCCATCATACTTGATAAAATGTGACATATTCTCGCTATTTATTATGTAGCCGAAACAGGGAGTGTGATCCGAGAGGAATTTCCAATTTCACAGCTCAACAGAGTTTGCAATGAGCAGCGGTGACGCATAGAAATTGCGTTTACTAAAATTAAAGCTGTTATTTTGATACATTAATTTCGATTATCAATATAAGTCCCTTCACACTTATAACTATATTAAAAATGACAGCATATCAACTAATAATATAATGTACTCATAAAAATGTGTGTCCAAACTAATTATCACGAACACAATTATAATATTTTTAGTAGACTTAGACTGTAATTTAGGTCATGATGAAATTGATAAAACATATGTAAAAAAATATCATTCTATAATGCACTGAGTTTATATGAAACTTAAATAAGTAATACACGTATTAATTAAAATGCTATACATACATAATATATGTTTGAAATACCTAATAATAAGGATATGGATTCGAAAGATTATATAGGCAATAGAAATTTATATGATCAGATAAACTACTGCCTATACCTAGGGATGGGTAATATATAGCAGTATCTATATATTGTAGTTTCAATATCTACTTATTATCCAATAACGGATATTAAATATCGATTATCCAATATTGAATTAAAGAACCCTATTGAAATGAATACAGATATTCAAGTGATACGTTATTGAAATGGGTGATGACCTTATTTTTCGCCATCAATATCCAAAGAATGTCAATATAATACCGGAGCGGTACTGATTTTACCCATGTTTGCTATATAATGTTGAAATTGTAAAGCGTGAAAAAGTTGTAAAAAAAAACATCTTTTTTCAGATGGGCATATATGCATGTTTACTGCCTTCGTTGTTTAAAAAATAGTCTATTAAGCGTACCCTAATGACATATAAATAATACAAAAACTGCAAGTTGCCAAATTTTTTTATTAAACTTAATTGAAATAAACTAACATAAATTGACCAAAAACATAAATGTTATTTAAGTACAGTCCAATGTAGATATAATCGTATCTGAAAAACAAATATAATGTGACGAAAAATAACAATGATAATTTTTCCCATTCATTTGAAATAACAATTATAACTTCTACTGAATTGCAGTCATCAAAATAAATTGAAAGCCGTTGCTCCAAACTGTGTACAAATGAATACACAGTTTTAGATAAAGCTAAAAAGTCATGAAAACGCTCCCACGCTAGTTATAGTTCACTACACACACGTATGCAGTATCGTCGTTTTGAAATGTACACTAACTCTATAGAATATTTTTATATAATATTTACCTTACAAAGGCAAAATGTAATAAAATAACAGATTTTATAATGATGATGATTATAATGAAGATGATGAATTGTCATATAGTTATATACTTAATTCACCTGTTAAATTAAGCAGTTATATAAGAAATAGTAGTACGTACGTTTTTATACAACGGCTTGTTCCATAATAATCTACTTTCGCTTTATTACCGTTTAATGAAGTTGGCTCCTTTTAATGGCGCTTTCTTCGTTTAAATGCAAATGAAAGTTCGCATTATAATTTTATTGTTTTTACCCTATATTTAAAAGACAGATAAACTGTAAAGTGCTGTAATGAAACCTTAACCAAGTGGGCATAACAGTTGCAAAACCCCGATATTTGAATTTTCCAATCGTCATGTTTTTTAAATATTATGACTATACTTGGTTATATTTACTATACTTAGATATCATGTACATATTTATATGGGAGCGCTATAGAACGCTCCTATAATTAAGGCGACCCAATAATTAATCTAACGATTCTATTTATTAATATCCATCGTTTCTATAAACCACTACGATTATCTATACAAACCCCAAAATCACTCTCTTTTCTTTAGCAATCGAGTGAATAAAATCATACCAGGATTTTTTCAGCTTCGCTTGGAAACTCGAATCAAATGTAATGTTCTGGACAGAGAACAAATTGTAAGAGAAACCGCCCCTTCGGGCCTTGAGAGTTCATAAAGCGGTCGCGGTAGGCAGTAACTCTATCGTGTGACACTCCGGGGGTCCAACCCAACCAAATTGTGTTATGTCAAGGATAGCGATTGCTGAAATTGCTTCCAACGAACGGAAATTGGATAAGATCAATAGCGTAATAAAGCAAAAAGGTGGCCTATTAAATCAATAGCAATATCAATTATAACTAAATTCAAATAAATTTAAAAAATATACTCAGTAGAATTTCAAATAAAATTCTCGGACAAATTTGACAGACATTTTTATTTCAATTTACTTTAAAATATAATAATTTCATGTGTACCTACAATATCCTCTCCCAGATAACCTTTCGAAAGTAATATCACATTAAATTTGTAAATGCCTATATGAATAACATATAACATACATAAAGTTCAAAGTTCACGACAAATTATAAAATCGCACATGAATTATTTTAACTTACAACTTCAACCATGTAATTAAGTCTCAAATAGTTTGGTTGTAGTTTTTTCATGTTTGTTACCTCAAAACTCCGTCAGTTCTAAACCGATTTAAAAAAATATTTTTTTATCCAAAAGTATATACTTACAGATTGTTCGCATAGAAATGTTATCAAAATCGGTCTAGTAGTTTAGTTTTTTTTATTTATTTTTTTATACAACTTAGAAAGGCAAACAAGCTGACAGCCCACCTGATGGAAAGTGGTAACCGTCGCCTATAGACATGAGCAAGTACCATAGACATAACAGAGTATACTGTTTCGCCCATGATACCCCCCATGCGTTGCCATTCCTGAGGACTCAGGTGTTATTCCTCTGTACCCAGTAAATTCACGCCACGTTTTCTAATCAAAATAACAAATTTTGCCATAAATGAAAGCGTTTTTAGGAAAACAATAATTAACTATCCTGTGGTGAAATTGTTATAAACAAAATAAAAAATATAATATACTGAAAGACAAATTCATATTGTAAGGAACTATTTAATTACAGACCAAGGGATTCAAAGGTCACTAATGGAAGGGCAAGAAGAATGGAAGTAATATAAATGAAAGCACAACTGAACTTCGAGTACACAATACAGATAGGACCAACGTTGCAGAGGCTTACACCAAAAAATTAATGATAATGGATGATGAAATAGCATCGCCGAGGAAAACCTGGCTTAATTATAGTGATTAATTGCTCAATGATTTCTGTTTATTACCTATGTTGTAGTTTGGTATTATTTGCCACACAATATTTTTCCTTTTAGGCCCGGACCCAACTTACCGAGAATGGTGGTCGTAAGTATTAAAGCGGTTTTGTTAGTTAGATAATGCAACGTTATCCTATAATCATTAGAAAATAACTTCGTAGAGATAATAATATAGCGCTAGAGTAACAATTTAGTTAATGTTCTTGATGTCTATATAATTTCAACTTAAACAATAGTTATAGATATTTTAATAACTAATATAGTTACATAAATAATATATAATAAAATAGTATATAAATAATATAATTTAGTAACTAATATATCCAGTCTTTTGATTCTGACTTTGTTTTAATATATGTTGTAAATAGATAATAATTTTTTTACAACACAGGGGGCAAACGAACATGCGGCTCACCTGATGGTAAGTGACTACCGCCGCCCATGATCACCCACGACACTTACGACATTACAGGTGTGCTGCCGGCCTTTTAAAAAGGAATATGCTATAGGAATATAATGTCAAAAAATCTATATGATTACAATGTAATCATTATAATTCATAAATTTACTAGTTTTAAAAGCTTTTTAATATGCGTTAAATATATACAACTACTTTAGTTACTATGCTTAGTTTACTATTTAGTTTACTATGCTGTTTCACTGTTTAATTTTCAATTGTATAAAATTATATTAAAAAAATTAATTATGATATGTATGCCCTATACAATTTAGAAATTTATTGAAAAGACGCGACAAATTTTCCTTATAGCAAATTAAATATAATATATACTATATATTTAGTCTTTAACGTTTTCTTTCAACGAAATCGATCGATGAACCCCTCGATTGCAACCTATAAACTTAGGTTTAAACGTAAACAAAATTATGTAGGCACACTTGAATAAGCTATCAACCTGCAACACAAGTCTGCCATGAGGGAATTAAAGTTAGAGGACGTTATGTATCAAATATTTATGAGTCAGGTTGTTAACAGGCATATACTTGAAGTTTTATATATTCAACCCTCGTATAATATTTCTTTTTTTCTTTCCTTTGTTACTTCAGTTTGCTAGGAAGAGTTTAGGATGCGCGCACGTGACATCCCTTGTGATAAAAGCTATAGACTACAATGTTTATTAAGTCAAAAACCCTTTATGACGAATTTTTCTATAGAAGTAAACTTTAGAAAAAGAATACACACACTTATATGTAATATTTTATCACGTCCGTAAATGGCATGCCTAATTTGTTTACTTGTTCATACTATTAAGATTACGCAAAAGTACTGCAACTCTCCAGCCCTGGATTACCCACGTGCATGATCTCAATGATTTCAATCTAAAGCTTTCTCCTTATACTTTTTATCAACTTCTGTAAAATCTTAAGAAATAGTATTGAATAGATCCAGAATTTGACATGAATTTAATTTAAAGTACCCTAATACCAAATTTTAATACCAAAGTAAACATACTGACAGGTATATACCACTTTAGCCTATTTTTATGGTAGCCTTTTATGAAATTTGTTTTATGCCAAATACCTAATACCGTGTTGTTAACCAGAGCCATTGTACACAACAATGAATGTCGTATAATAAGATTCGCGACAGCAATCAACTAAGTAAATTCAGTCTTGAATAAATTGTTATTGTTTCACGCTGATTCCCTCAAACCACAATCTAGATAAGCCCGTTTTGAAATTAATTTTATATCAATGATGTCAAAAAAAGGAATAAAAGGGGAATATATAAGACAAAAAGGAGAATATTTTACATCCATTGGATTATTTAAAAATAATACAGAAAAAGAAATAAAATGAAACAAGAAACACCATCACAATAGCACAAATACCTATAGGCATGTATATACGAATAGTATTAATTTCTTTATGGCTAAAGAACCTAGAAACACCAGACCAGAATGAATTTAGTTAAAAGGTTAAAATTAAAAACACAATTTCTAAATTAACTCGACTGAGAATCGTATGTAGATACTAAATAAACCTATTGTAATAATTACTATTTCGTTATGTTGTTATGAAATCTAATAATTATTAATAAGTGTGTTTCACATAAAAAACCCGACTTGAAAACTAGCAAAAGCTGTTGTTTTGATTTCAAAACTAAAGTACTGCGCTAATTTGGATAAAACATTTTTAGATCCAATTTTAAAGCATAGCCTTTCAGACAACAAAAGAATTTTCCAAAATGATTTTTTTTTAAAGCCGATTAAAAAATACAAAACACCTCATTTATTCTAAAAAATAAGTAAGATTTATTTAAAAAGAATATATCTGTAGACTGAGAAATACGCCATTATTAGGACTATTCCATTGATTGATCGACGGCACCATGACCGATAAAAGTTTCAAAAGGGAACAAGGCATTGCATCGATCGTCTGCCGAAAGTGAATTGTAAATGATTGATTATGAATGACTAACCTGTTTCCACTCTACTTTGTCGATAACTTCAGCGCCCGAAGCGGAATTTTCATTCACTGGAGGACGAAGGAGTGAGACGTACTGAAAATATACAAACGTGATTTCGTTTTTGAGTATCGTTTTTGAGTTCCAAAAAGTACTTTTTTATGCTTGATATATGATATACTATAGGAGAATTTTTAGAATAAATAATGAAATCAAAAATTGTTTTTAATTATTATAAAAATACGGAGGAGCTCAACCGAATTATCAAATGGTTACATTTGATTAAATTTGTTAGAATATTTATCATTATTACTAATAGTTGACCGCAATTTGGCCTATATCAGCCCATTACCTCCCATTTCCAATGAAATTTCGAGAAAACCCTTTTCAGTGCTCACCTATATTAAATAAGGAATTCTTGTGGAAAATTTCTTCTACACTCACCACTGTGCAATGATTATCAGTTACACAATGTTATTGTTATACCTTACTTATGTTATATATTTATTTATAGGTTAGGTTATAAGTACTTTATTTTTCATCCCCGTGATATCATAAAGTAACTAAGAGTATAATACACCACAAAATAAAAAAATATATACTCTGTACTAATAATAATAATCTCTCTGTAAAATATAATAAAAAGCACATTTTTTTAAATATTTTATAAAAATAATTATGTACCCATTAATAAATGAATTGTAAAAAATAGAATCTAAAGTTTTATATTGCATTTTTCGTCGTAGAAATATTCATTATCATTCATCCCAGAATCTCGTAAAATGATATACACAAAATATTTATATATAGTAGCACTAGATATAAACATTATACAGATCTGTCTAACCTTGTCACGTTCCAAACTGCGAATCATGTCCAAATCTGTAGTATCCGAAATACCGCCATGCACCACAAACACTCGATTGTTGATGATCGTCCCCAGTGGCAGCCATCGATATACGCACTCTATCAGCTTCAATAGTCGCTCCGCATTGTGCTACACAATGGATTACTAATTATAAACAAGCTCAGTGGTGATACCCTTTGATTTAAGTTTACTGAAACTTCGAATATCAAAGTTTTAATGCGACCTACAAATTAGAAAGTTTGGGTGATTTAGGGATCGAATCTGTTAGACCTGAACGGGATGAAAAGGAGCAACTACCCGACTGTTTTAGGGTTGAACAAATATAAAGATTATTCTAATATTAAACGCATTTTGTTGAAGGTAATATACTTACCTAAAGTTCAAATTAAAAAAAATATTTTAATAATACATTTATGTACTACGTAGATTTGCATTTATCTCTAACGTCAAAGTAGAGCGGATAGACAAGTTACAGTTATTTTTTAAATATTTTCCATTTATTTCAATGACCGTGATTTAAGCTTTAGGATTATACTAATGCACACTGGTACTCGAGACCCGTAAATAAACTTAAGTTTTATTATGTTAAAAATAATATTAAATAAATATTTACCACACATACATAAAAATACTTAGCAAGGAATTATTTTACTATATGTAAGAAAATATTTATCTGTTTCTGTTATTATTTTGAATCTAAATAAATATCTGAATCAGATTATTCAATATACTCAGATTATTTGAATAAGTAGAATAGCTTTCATATAGGTTTGGTTTGATTAGCCAAGATAAGAACCCATACAAGACATAATTTTAATACATTAACGTCACTAAGTTTTAACTCTTGGTTATCTATAGGAATCCATAAAACTCAGCGTAAACATAAAGAGATAAAATCACTTACCCGGTATTTTTGATGTACTTCCTTAATGAAACCATACCTGAAGACGAATATCAAATATCAATCTTCCAGACTACATATTATTTTATTATTTTTTTTTATTTAAAAACAAACTTTATTTCACTTTTCGATAAAACTTTATAAATACAGAATTTAAAAATAATAATCAAATTAATATTTTAGAAATAATTGTACGGGATTTACTTTTAAAATATAGACAAATATAATAACTCCATTCGTTGAATATTTATGTGATAGTTTAAATAAAACATTATTTATTTTCATTCGATTAAATTCTGTTGAAATATATTTTACGTTAAAATAACATCTTATAATAAACAGAGATATTTATATTAATTAACTAATGATCAAACATAATACTTACATTAGAATTACAAGTATGATATCTACTGATGAGGAAGAAATATATGGTATGGAATATTGACTCATAGTACAAAAACAACTCATTAGTCTCCTGCTGGCCAGGGGATTTCTCCATAAAAGGAGAATGTTAACCACATATTAATACACAGACCAGTGATTTAACTTCGAGAAAGATCTGCCAAACACACTTTCAATAGTTGAACTCAGAGGGATAATGTGGTTTAAGAATATAAATAAAGTTATCAATATTATACATGGAAATATAGAAATCATTAGCGTTCTTTCTAATAATGAAAACTAAACATTTCACCTTAAAAATCTAGATCGTTTGCTAATTTCTTAAAAAAGGTGGCTCAAACTCTACAACTCATATTTGTTTACGAAAAATGTTCATATTCATTTATATAACACTCCCTTAAAAGCGTGCTAATTATTTCCATTTCACCCTGTATTATGGACTGTTGAGCATTATATAGAATATTCATTACCTTGAATTCATTATAAGATCTTCATGATTGCCTCGATTTAAATAAACTCCACCAGGGAAAGCGAGCATACAAGCGAGTAATAAAAGAATCACTTCCAGACTCTTCTTGCCTCGGTCCACGAAGTCTCCATTGAATATATACGGATTCTCAGGGGATGGCAACCCATTCTGCATAACAAAACAGCTTTGATTAAATACGCAATGGTGAGTTTTGACGAAGCGTATCTTTGTGCATTCGAGTACGAATATTATCTTCATTTCTTGATCTTATTATCGTTAATACAATAGCATTAAAGCAATGATTGCGAATTCAAACGCCGCCCATTATAAATATTTGTACTCATGTTCTAAATATTATTATATATATGTACTACTTTGCCTGCATCAGAAACTAAGTGTTTAACCTGCGCAAAACCCTAATGTCTTAGTACCTAGGTCACATAAATGCTCTTAAATTATGCAAAATTTCCAGTTTACAAGTACAGTAGTTGTCATATATTAACGTTTCATTTATCTTTTTACATATAGATTGCTTTGTACCTTACATCTATGTAATTAACAGCATGCACGAAGGAACTGTTTTCTAGCCGAGCCGAAATTTGGACAAGATTAACTTTGTAAAATTAACGCGATTTGTTTGCAAAATTACCTCTACTGAACTAATACTCAGTAAAGTTATGAATTTAGAGTTTCATTTATTTCTGCAATTGTACCTAAATATGTTTAATTAGACAAAAGTAACTCAGTCAGTTCCAAAAAAAATTTTAAATCTAAAAGAAAGTATGATTAATTTAGTAAAACAACAATTAAATCGAGAATTTTAACTTGTTGGCAACCCTACCAACAGACGAATATAAACTGAAACTTTTCAGGTCTGTCCAATAAAATATTTCACAACTGACACAACTATTTTTATTCAAGAAAATTACTTAAATCTAAACCACACTACTTTATTTATACTGATCATTAAGGAGACCTTATAAATAATTCCTGTCCATTTTAGATCCTATATTTTTAGATTTAATACTGTGAATAAAAGAATATTAGAGAAAATTAACTGTATCCTTTTCAAATATAGATGAGCTTGGCATTATTAAATATGAATATGATTATCTGTATCCACACATTAAAAAGAAAAAAAATATAACATAGACATTTAGGTCATCATCAATTAGAGAAACCAGGTAAAGAAGATATAAAGGTAAAGTCGATATGCCTGAACATTCCGAAAATGCATTATGACGCAAAATTCTAACTGTCCAAGTATACCAAGACCCATGTCAATTTTGTACGTCTCTGACACGTCAATAGCTGCCATTCGCTGACAATAGAACGATTTTATTAGGATCTCAATTATATCTTCGGAAATATTAAACGTGTCGCAAATTTGTTAGTTTATCACTATGCTTTTGCCTACAACAGAATATCAGTGAGTGAATACATTCCTCTTTTAAGAGCAAAGCAATAAACTGAGTTGTGACTATTTTATGTAACTATGGCACATGCACCAAATGGAAGATTGTTATTCCTTTTATGTATTTTCCTTCTTTTATCTCTTTTTTTTTGTGTATGTCTATCTATATGCGTGCTGCAAGTAATGCAAATAAATTATATATCTATCAAATGTAAAACTGTTATCCATTTGATATTTCATATGTAATCGCATTATTGTATGGTTAAGAAAATTACGGAAGTCATATTCCAATAATCATTGTACGAAGATGATTGAAAAATGTATCGAGGCAGAACTTGAACCGAGGTTACGACCAATCGAGCTACCTCCATAGGTTCAAGGCCCGCACGCTTTGAATTGTTTCAATCACCTAATAATGCATTTAATTTGCAATTAGTAAATTGCCTAGTCTCATCACAAATAAATATTTTGCTGTCCGTTAAATGACCACATACAAGCTCATCATCAGAATTAGTTTAGTTGGAATCCTTACATTTGCAGCGCTGACCGCAGACAAGGCTGTTTACGCAACATGTCGATGTCGACTGCCAATCAATACCCTACTGCGTTATATAACCGTTATCCTTTAACTAATACCGAGTTCTCTCTTTTACTGAGTCAGGGCCGAATAGAACACGAACCGTAACGAAACACTAAAAGTTGCATTAAACTACGAGGTAGTTACCCATTATACCTGCAATTTATTTTAAACGCTATTTTATCACTTGGTCTTTTAATATAACATTTATGTCACTCGATATTACATGTTCTTTATAGCATAATTATAACATAAAACTAGCTGACCCGACAGAAGTTGTCCTATCTAAATTTAAAATTCTCTTCTTTCCCCAAAATCTTAATAAAAGTATTCACAAAAGCAAACAACTAGCTAAATCGGACTATTTGATCTCGAGTAAAATTAACGGCATACGGATAAACCTTTTACAATGCCTGGAGGTTAAATAGGAAATATATCGAAGCGCCATCAATCACCGATGTCAAACATATGACAGTAGGCTCCACATTAGAGAAAATAAATTGCACATTTGAAAACGATAAACAATGACCTGGTTCGTCAACAATGTAGGCAATATTAACGATGTCGTCCGGCAAACTGGGCAGTCAATCAATCAAACGTAGCTACGCGACAAGCGGCACAAATTAGATGACGCGTGCGCCGCTCCCGTTGTTTGTAGTGTCCGCGTGTCCCGCCGAGCGACCCTCGCCCTCTTGACGTCAAAATCGCCTCTAATGAGCACCGACGGAAAAACAACTCCGAGGAAACCTTATACAATAACATAGCAATCCGTCGAGCTAAATATACCTTGGTAGCAGCAATATCAGTGAGTCATACGTAATTGAAGTTATGAAGCGAAAGAAAATATTTAGATTATTAGTGAACTGCACGTCATAATAAATTTCTCTACTCAAAATAAAGTGGAATATGTAACAAACACAAAAATTGCACCCAATGCAAGTTAACGATAATCTTAATCTCACAAAATGTAATTAATTATTTTACCAATTTCTCAAAGTTTTGTAAGCATAGAAATGTTCACTAAATTGTAATGCTTGAAATTATACTCGATTATTTTATTTAATATTTCATCATATTACTCGTATATAGCAATACGAGTAATTATATATGTGTAGGTAGATGTCAAGAGCATCTAGGTCACCTGCGTTATATATGAAGACCTCTATATGACTTATTACACGAGGGCTTTACATTTCCTCCGTAACACGAAACAAGTATTTTTTTTTAAATCATAAAAGCGCAATTGTCATTTTTAAAAACCAAAGATTCGTTTATAATTTCCTAACAGCAATTATGCATTTCCCAAACTGAGCTATTACCACTAAAAGGGGGAATTCAAACTACATGCATATTATTTTCGGCGTATTCATTCATCCCGTATAATACTTCTAAAGATTGGAAAGCATCAGATCATACAACTTTCAATTTAGAAAGTTATTAACATACCTTATGAAAAATAACCAACAAATCATCCAATTTTCCATGCAAATCTCCACACACAGTTATCTGGCTGGATATTGACGTTGTGGCCACATTGATATTTGGTAGTCTTTTCAACACCTGAGTTGCCTCCTTCAATATTTGAGCGACATGCTTTGGATGCAGGCGATGCTAGAAATAATACATGACATAACTGTAATTCTTATTAGCTATATTGTAAAACATCTAACCCGTTTAATACAGAAAAGACACAATGTTAAATACAAGGAACACAACACTATGGTTCTCAACAATAGAAGATTTCCGAAGTCTACATAAACATACCTTTTTCTTTCTAAAAGTTTCAATGAGTAAGTCAATATCTTTTCTCTGAAGCGGAAACTCTATATCAGGGCCATGAGAGGACTTCGGAGGTGCCGTCTCGTCCACACCTCCTCCCTCATCTGACTCCTCAGAAAAGACTTGCTCCACTGCAAAAAGCAATAAATAATTGAATAACCTAATGTTACAATATACAAGTTTAATCTGAATTAAAATCTGATTGGTACAATGTGAATAAAACTCTTATGTCTAGGTACTACGTCTGTACACTCGCGAGCAACCAAACCGCCTCAACCCTTGACGGCGCACATATGCATTGATTTTACTAAACCGACAAATGTCAATCATAAAAATGATATGTCATTCGAAAGCTGAAGAATTATACTCTCACTTAACATCAATATTCTAAAAAAACTTAAGCGCTGATTTAATGAGGCATTTTAATTGGACGTCAGGGAAAATTTGTTCCATAAGGTATCCACGAATAGCGCTACCTGCCCCCGTTATAAAACCCGCCCACACCCGGTTTACCTTATTAGTCGCTTATCACAAGTTGACTGGTACATATCTCAGTAAATTGCATTCCTTGTTTTCGTGAAACCATGGATACCACACCAGAAAAAACCCGCTCAAGTTGTTGCCTTGTTGCAACAAGGGTTAAGCCAGCGAGCAGTCGCTGCCCAGCTCCACTTGAGCCAGTCTGCTATATCCTGAGTATACAAATGGTTCCAAATTTATAACTTCAATGAAAAACAGACTGCAGACTGTAATAAAGACTAGAGGGGGCAATACGAAGTATTGATATAATTTTCTTTTTTTTCATTTTTACCATTTTTTGTTTAATTTCTAAAATACGGGACCTAAGCCCTTTTCCTAAATTCCCATTTTTCCTACTCTAACGTTCAGACATCATTAACTGAAGAAATAATTGATGGATGGATTTCAATGATTATGATATCAAATTAAAGCTGACATCTTAAGCTTTGGAATGCCATATCATTTCTATTATAATTGACATTTGTCGTTTTAGTTAAATCAATGCATATGTGCGCCGTCAAGGGTTGAGTCGGTTTGGTTGCTCGCGAGTGTAGTACTCGTATGTACGCTCATTGTTAACAAATTAGCTGAAAGTTTAATTATTTATTATATTTCTACCTTTATAAATTAAATAAGAAATAAAATAAAATTGACTAAATAGTAAAAAAAAACATTCGCTGTCGTAATTATCTCATACATTACCTATATGTAATTGTTTAAAAAATATATGTTTTATGAATAAGATGGAATATATAATAAATCCACAATAATCAATACCTTATCTATTCGTACCAAAATACTCTACACGTAACGTCTATCAACTCTGACATTCAACAGGAAAGCTATTATTTATTTGACATTTAATTCCGGGGAACCACTTAATTTTACCCGCTGAATCGCTAAATAATTTAATCGGGTGCTTCACTACCCACTCTGAGATAACGGAGACCCGGTTTTATGTGCATATAGTGTAAAATAGGAAGATAGGTCACTGCAGAGAGATTATGTAAGTGACAAGCGTAAAGATACCATACCGCAGTGTCGCGTGTTCCCAACTAGTTACAAAAAATGGGAGCAATAGGAATGTCACATGAAAGAAATAACACTGTGTGCTAGATTAAATTTAATTTCCCAGGTGTAATTTGCAAATGGATAGTTCTAGTAAGTACACATATATTTAAAACGAATAGATAGTCATATTTCAAATTACTAACGTCAATATTATTATACGGTCAAACAACATAATGGCTTTATAGTTACGTATAATAATAATATGAATGTAAAGCTATTCGAAAATTTTAATATATGTTATAAAATCATTTTTAAACAGCTAAATGGATTTTATTCAAATTTAGTGTATAAAAAGGTATATTTGTATAGCAAATTTAGATTCTTAATACGTTAACAAGTGACACTTATTATTCTAATTCATATGGGAAAAATTACGGGGGAGAGTTATCTAATATGACTATATTTATAATATTTGCAAGTAGTAGGATAATGTTTATTTCCCCAGCATATTGATATATCTATAAAGATTCTCAGCTCTAATACAGCTTGAATAACAACTGTCATATGCATAGTTGGTATATACATCTGCACAAATCTCACAAATAAAATATTTTTTATAGTCCAATTAAGATGGTAGAACAATCGGTCAGTTAATTTTTTTATAATAGGTACACAGTTGTTAATCAAACACCATAACGGACGCTCAAGGAATGTAATGACGAACATATCATCTAATAGACAAACACGTATTCATATAAATAGAGTATTACGATATATCCTATCATATTATCGAACAAAATAGAAGTTACATCAATAAATAACCCAATTATAGAATTACTAACTGTACCCACCCACGAATATTGCTCATGTGGCCGGAATAAAAAGTAGCCTATATACTTTTCCACACATAGCGTACCAAATTTCGTGGCAATAAGAGATAAACAAACGAACTCATTTTCACGTTTAAATAATATTAATATGTTAGCCAAACATTATTAGTAGATATTACATTGTCCATCCACTTTCCACTAGGTCTGTTTTTACACAAAGACGATAATTTCCAGTAGATATTATTTCATTCAATTTTTCAATCCAAATAGACAAAATACAAAATCTACATTTTTTTGTACACATATATATTTTGTGTGTAATAACACAACGTATTACCGCTCCTTATAAATTTTGTAAAATCAATCTAGAGGAATAAAGCGTAATACATCAACACCGATGATGTATATGCCGTTGAAAAAGAGTTATAATAGGACAGACTGTTAAAGAATTTGACTTAGTAATTTAATTGGCAATAACACTAAATTAAACTAAATTTAAAATCTTGATATTAAAAAAGATATTAATTATTAGCACGTGTGCCATTGATCCATTAATGACAAAATAAATATATTTTTAAAATGTTGTACAAAATTTGTAAATTTGTAAAATAAAACTATGGCTCACTACACGTTTTGGAAAACTGTAAGTGTGGTGAGTAATTTTCAAATAAATAAATAAATAAATTGCCATTATCGCCTGCCTAGAATAAACTAACAGGAATATATTTTATTAGGTCAGCTAGATTTATTTCCGAAAGGTCTATCTAGTCGGTTAGTGACAGTGAGTCAATAAATGCTTGAAATGGTTTGTATAAATATAATTTTGTGCGCGCGCATTCGGTTTTGAAATAATTTAATTTCTAAATGCACAATTCTCGCAAATGAACCCTACATTTATCTATGAGAAATTCCCTTTTATATAACCCTCCAGTAACAACTTCTGATTTAGGGCTGAGATATAGATTATCTATCAATCTCTAACGTGTATTCTAAAAAACCAGTACACCTAAGTCTATAAAAACTGTATTACGCAGATAAAAATTTTCACATCCACAGAGATTTGGAATAATTTAACAATCTTTTATAAATGATTTATGATCAAAGCAAAATCATATCTCATATTACGTTATTCATTATTTATCATTATTGATGGATATTTCACAACGTTACTGACATATATCAGATATGTGAAATGTCAGAATTTAATATAATCACAGAGGTTCTCCATAAACGTGCAAACAAAAGAAATGGCTTTTATATGGGCATCCTTTTAAACAATGATATAATACCTTTGTGGTGTTGTTATCTGTAAAATGTATAATGAATGTAAATAGCGGTGCAAAACGGCATAACTTACACACTGAGGCTGTCCTCGAGGTTCGCTCCGAGGACGGCCGTCCACTGGTATCCCTCATATGACTCAGTAACGCGTTGAAAAAATTGTACAACTGCAACAATGTAAAATAAATATGTTAATTTCCAGAGAGAATGACTGAATGGCTAATGAAATAATTCTAAATCAAATAATTAAATGGTCGTATAATTAAATGAAAATTGGTTAAATAGTAAAAAATAAGACAAAACCAATCAGTATACATTATAGCCAGCTATTTGCCGACTATACTTACTGATATATCTATATAATTACTATAATTTATTTTGCAATTTATTATAATTTCTGGAAGCCAGTTAGAAACCTTATGGAAAATAGAAAATGGCACCTGCATACAGAAATAACACCATAGACATATTATATCGCATCGTAACCATCGTTGCCACTTCTGAAGATTTAAGTGTTATTTAGTGTTAGAGATCAGAAAACAACAATGTATGGATTAACAAAAAAAATGGACCAATATCAATCATTTCAAAAAACTATTTATACTATAGGACAAAGTAACAAAGAAGATTATGGCAAGATACAACTACGAAAACTATATCACAATCGTGTCACTTCTGTTTAGTGGAAGTAACATAACTTTGTTGAGAAACAATTTGTCGCAATAAAATACTATCCAAAGAACGTAGTAGCTTATTCGTTCTATCAAAGTAATGTTGATAACGTACATCATATTATATTTATTGGCAACCAATGTTTTAGTCCGATTTTATTTCAAGAATAATTAATTAATTCCCTTTACTTAGATATTTGCTGTCATAAATTACAGTGCAGTATATTTATACAGTGTATTTGATTTAGCTTTCCAACTAATAAATTTATTTTATTTTTATTTAATATTTTTATGTTCCATACAATTAAGTCAAATGTAAACAAACAAAAAGCATTCATGTTATTATAAATCTGTAGTTTCTTTTTCCTATTTAACAATAATCCTAACTGAATTATCTGAATGCAAATGTATCAAACATTTTGTATTCTTAAACCTTATCTTTAATTTTTTTTTTAATTATAGATTTCATTGTGAAAAGTGGAACCTTCTTAGAAGTAGAATTTCAATTTAAGTCTACAAACGACGAAGTCAGTACCATTGTTTGTAAACTTGAACTATGGATATCACATAATACACTGTAATATCCAAGATCCTCTTCATGCGTTATCAATCAGAAAAAATATGTATAATGTATGGTTTTATATACGTATATAACCTATAAACACATACATAGCCAAAGCATAGCTATGGAAGTACAGCTACTTGACAGTAGAGACGCGAATGGAACAGAGGGACCCATACAGAAACAAATTTTAATTTTAATTTACGGTAAAGAAGCTACGGCTTACAGCAACTTCATAATTAATTCTACTTACAAAATCAACTTTTATTCTCTTTTACTTTGGCTCTGGCTTAATAAAAAAAGTTATCTACATCTGCATAAATATAATTACGTAACATTATGCATCAGGAACGATATTTTTTTTTTTTTTACAAAATGTGATCGTAGCTTAATCTATAAACAGAGAGCTTTTCTGTGCATAACATTGTTCAGTGAAATCGAATGATCGGAATGAAATGTTCAGTGAGCACAGTGAGTGAATGGCGGCGACGCGCTTCGCCAACAGCTATATTGCTTTACTGATCTCATACTTAATATTAAAGTTAGCTAGTCTCCAAAGCCACAGACATGTGCTAAATCCATAATGTCACTTAAGTTAACTGCAGATAATCGAAGTGTGTTTTAAACAATACAATCTATTCCTCACATAATAAACACAAGGTTCATGTTCATAACGTATTAATATTCTATTTTAGTAGAATATATATAAAATTCCAACTCATTCGCCGCTTAAGTGGTTACTAACAAGTTTTTAATGTAATGTATACCTAATCGTGTAAACGTTTAGAATGGGTAATTTACATTGTATAACCTATAGCTACATTAGCTCGATAATAAAATTTCACGCCTCGCTCTCACATGTAAAACATTTTCATAGATTACCTAATTACAAAGGTACGGAGCTCAGTTTACTTTGTATTCATTGGTAAATAAGTCAAACACGAATTAGGCTCACACATCAAGGGATCCGTTTAAAAATAATGTATATAGAGGATTATCTTATTTATTCGCTGTAATTATTTAAAACTTCCCATTTCCCACTACCGTATAAGCGAATTTGGAGAGTGGCTGGATGGGCTGTGCCCACACTAGAATTGTCCGGTGTCAACTTCATAATAAAAAGCAAAGCTTTTAACTATAGTAATGCCATCTCTGAGAGTTGCACCTTTTTTTAGGGGCTAAACCTATACACACAATACACATGTACATGTATGTATCTTGTTATATTTCAATGTAGCGCAAATTAGAAATATTTCATAGTAAAAAATCTTATAAGGTAACTTTCAGGATAGCGCTTGTGATTAAATGTTTGTAATCAATCTATGTAACAAACACCATATCCCTTTTGTTAAATTTCCTTAAAAAAAGAGATTTTATCTCTACATTTTTGTAGGTATTTTGTCTTTGACATTATGTATATTTATAAAATTGTCTTGTATACAATGTATTTTCTTTTTTTTATCTAGGGGCCAACAGTATCCCTAGTCGTATGAGCCCTAATTGCAACGCAAATGGGATACATCGCACTCGAATGTATGTGTTGTTATTATTTAGAATTGGTTTTGCTTGGGTTTACCGTGGATTTATTTTGTTGGTACGTATTATAATTATATTTAGTCAAATAGTTGAAATATATATTTATACTAATATAGTTACAATATGGTCTACGGTTTAGATGAGTTATTTACACTATGATAAGATTGCAGATTGTATGGATATTTTTGCGTTTGTTTTCAATAAGTTTATTTTGCTGTAGTAATTATTTATTATATTTATTTGTTATAATAATAATATTATATATTATTATTTGTTATAATAATAATATTTATGTACAATGTATTACAAGATAGATGAAAACTACACATGAGATTTTTTTTTGTTATCTGATCAATTCATTACTTAGTTCAAATAAAGTAACAACGGGAAGACCTAATTTCATAAGCAAAGTATTTGATATTTTCTTCTTCTTAGTGTTTTGAAAAAATATTTATTGAGTACTGATCTAACTTACCTACAGGTTATGCGTTGGTTATGCTATGAAATGGGATTATTTTGATATTCCGTGATTTTCATGCCAGCGAGTGTCGAGTAGCCATGTCTAACTCTTGATTTACAGTATTGTAAATAATTGTCTTTTTGTTCAAATTTATGTGATCTGGACCAACAGGCATACAGGCATACGTAGTATGTAGCGTTGTATTTTATCATAATGCCTTTTTTATGATTTTCTGAATTTTATATCTAACAAATGGTAATATAATGCTCGATGTGTTGTTATCTTCTTTTCTTTTCTATTTTACCAATTTTCTAAGAACACAATGTATCTATTAACTTCGTCAATATTGTCATTTTGTCAATTAAAACGAGTAATGACAGTACTAATGTTATAGACAATTTCTAACTCTCCATATTATAAATACCTCCTCACAAATTCTTCAAAAATCGTATAACACATATGCCACGCCACCTGAGCAACGTAGTAATAAAAGGTCTCTGGGTGAAATGGCAATCCCTTTCCTTAGTAATAGGATTTAATTGCCCCATTTCTAGCAATATACCCTATCGACTTCCATGCAGTTCCTCCTGGATACCATCGTGGTTAATTTTGTATTCGCCACGATATGCTAACTGACCTACTTATCCTCGCCAATGTAAACCGATAGCGCAGGCGGGGTTGCTATTTCATTTTCACTCATTAAAAAAATATCAGGCCTCCTCTATGGTGAAAAAACGTCACCAGCAACGTATGAAATTAATTTCTTTTTCATTCCACATATGGATGTATATATATATAGAACCTAAGCTATGCATACCTAAATATATTAACGACGTAAGTTCTTATTATGTATTTAGTATATTCAATTTCAGTAGATCCCAGACATAAAATTATATGGATACATGCGACTATATTAAAACCATCACAGCAGCAATATTGTACGTGACAGTAATAACAGACTGCCGCAAACACCACGGGATAGACACTTAAATTAATAATAATAGTACAATACGCATCGATTGCTCACACGTGCCGCAGCTCATTACAATTGCAATATTCGTAGCTTTATATACTTTGTCATCTATTCATATATATATATATATATATATATATATATATATATATATATATATATATATATATATATATATATATATATATATATATTAGTTGCTATATAATTTGCAACTAAAATCATTATTAACAGCAGTTAAAATGAAAAAACTAAACACTTTTCAAAGTGTTATGAATTTCAATTTCACCCAGTATCTTTTTTTTAAGTACTTTTAGTTACATAAAATGAGGTAAAAATATTTTTGAAAGATAATTATTAGAAATAAAAAAAAAACTAAAAAGCATTCAATTGCGTCCTTAAGTGATGATAATAGAATGGTAACCCCGCCTGCGCTATCGGTATACACTGGCGGGGCACCAGTGAGGGATGATAGGTAAAGATGAAACAGGACAGTTAGCCCACCGTGATGAATCTAACAATAAATCAATCACGATGATTTCCAGGGGGGCCAACGAGAAAGTCGACCTGACAGGGTATATTGCTAGCAGTGGGCTACTAATCCTCATTACTATCAATCCCTTCTTCCCCCAGTGATGACCCCGTACGAGCAAATGCAGTATAGGACGACCAACAAGATAAAGTGATGACTATGGGGGAGCCTATGTTCAGCAATGGACAGATAACGGCTGATATGATGATAATGACGATTCAATAACATAATGTTTTGAGGACTCTACATACAGTATTACCATACATAATGTCTATAATAGATAATAATATATAAAAAGAGGTACCTAATAATATAATAATCATAATAATATATTATACATCATAACTCACTTTCACTTGATCCTGCTCTCCAGCATACTCAATATTCTGGAAGATCGTCCAGGTATACCGCCTTCGCACTTCCATTCGCGCCAAATACCGTCGATACCACTGCTGAATCAGTATGGCCGCTTTCATTGCTGTAAGCATAATTACATCTATTAATTACATGCACAAACCTTTATTACAAGCCTAATAAAAATTATTTGTTTTGTAAAGACATAAAGCGCTATAGGGCTTACCTATTTTGCGTATATCTGCCGTAAAAGAGCAATAAATAAAATAAAGTACAATAAGTATACCTATAACTGTATTCCCTAATGGGGTAGTCAAAGACATTTATTGATTATTGCCGTTGTAATGAACATATAGTCGACATGCACACATTTATCCAAGTATATTGGATCACATGCGATAGAATAATAGAGCGAACCAACCATCGTCACTCAGATTGATTTGGTTTATTAATGATGTTATTCATCATCGAATCCAAAAATAAGATTAAGACACGAATTTTTTTATGTCGAGCTCAAAACTTCACGACGTTTGTGATCTATAAGTTGTGGTAGTAAGTATTTACTTTGTCACTAATCCAAGACGTGAACAAGCAGTATATTAATCATAAGAAAATCAGTTTCTGTAAACGGTATTAACTCGAGTGACGTTTCATGTTCCTTAATAAATAACAACGCATGAATCGTGTGACATGAAAATTTCTACATATGGTGATATCATATTCATCATTGCCTTCCATAAACTTCAAGCAAATGGAAATTTTTGATACAACTGTAGGTACTTTGCTAATTGAAGACCAATTTCAACGATTTTTTATTGAATGAGTTTACTCCCTTACTTATATATTTTTAATTTCCTCAAGATTTAATTGTTATGAAGAAAAAAATCTTACAGTGAAAAAACAATGAGGTTGGCATCAGTTTGTGGCAATATTGAATGTTTTAGAGCGATTAGAATTATAAAACATTCGCATATTTTATCGCTTCCGGCGTCACTTGCGACGGAAGTTTATGGTAATACAGCTCAAAATGACGATCCAATACTAACACTTCATAAAGTGTTCATTATTAATTTCACAGACGAATTATTTTTGTCAAGACATTAAATTTAAAATACAAAAATGATAAAATATACATTCATAAAAGCTTTCAATCAATACGTCACATATACTTTCTACTTAAAATTAGTTACTCTCAGTGATAACGCCTAATTAACAATCGATAAAACATTCGTGACCACAACATGTATTTTCATGGAAACGATTGTTGTGACATTTACACGAACAAAAATCTTTGTACCTATTATTTATTGACAAAAGCATCATATATACAAATTGTACATTTATAAATGATGTACGTATATTTGGTGGAAATACGCTATTATAAATCATCCACAACACCGATAATGGGAGCAAGACCTCAAACAAAATTACCCAAATACGTTTAGCAAAATAGATGGATATAATATGATGTATTATATCCATCTATTTTGCTAAACGTGTTTATGGGAGCACGGGCAGGTGAAGGAATAAAGACCTTTTAGAATTTCGAAATCATTTGAATTTAACTCGCTAACTCTTTTGAATAAATAATTTGGATAGATATTCTTTTTTTAATAAAAGTTTGCTTACTCGTCGAGCGAGTGGAGTGAGAGCCATGTCGCATTCACTGCAACCAACCGCAACGTTTGTGACCGCACGCTAAACATCGTGTTTTGATTATACTCGTACTTTAATTTGTTTTGTTACTTTGCTTGCCTCGGACCTGTATTTAGTTAGATATTTCAACATTATATTGAGATGAATGAACGGAAATACTAAGCTCCCTTGTCCAATAAATTTCAAACGCCCACTCTCTGATACTCGCAAAGTTAGCAGTTAATATCCATAAATTTTATTAACTTATTAATATTACGTACAAATGTAGAACGGTTTATTTATGTATGTTATCATTAAATCCAATGTACAGTTATTAGTTAGATATTATACTTAGAATAAGTAATGTAGAAATGTATTTACTTAGATTATACATAAATATATAATACTACAATTTGATAACAAAATGTAGGTAAATATTTACTAGCACACAGTACTTAGATAAAGCGTGTAGACATACCTCAATCAGAGTTCATAACTTGTCACACAATATGTATATGTATGATCAATTAGCATCATCATTGACAAAACAACTCATTACTGTTCTACTGCCAATGTTTGCCAGAAAATTACATAATTTCTCTGTTCTTATCATTGATCATATAAATAGCAGTGAGTCAATCTAAAATTTTCTTGACTACTCGACTGACTAGCTCGACCGAAATTCAATTCCTAAACCTTACTTTATACAATGTCCAATCAATACCAATTGTAAATAGATATAGCTTGAACTTTGTATGACTTATCTGGGCAAGAATATTTATTTCGAATCAAAATTTGCAATGTTTTGATCATATAAATCTAGATCGAGCAAATAATGTCAAAACCTTAGCAAAAAATTGTCAGTCAACTTCTATTAATGCGATAAAATTTTCAATACAAGATTACTATCTATTTACACGTTATTAACGTTATTCATTTTGAAAGGTACTTTTATATAATCACCAGGACAAGAAGCTTAACGCATTATGTTTTCCCTTGGTGCACCCTGAGCTGCCACTCCTAATAGGCAACATTATGGCCCAATTACACGCAACGTTTTGTCTGCGTCATCTAGTTAAGCAAAATCTTGTGTAATTTTGGGCAGTTTGACTATGCGAGATGTAATTTCACCTCTTATTTTTCTATTTTATGCAACTATTCACTAAAGAATACATGAGTGAATATCGAGTTGGTAACCGTAGATTTTTGGTGATGTTTTAAAATGGAATCTGCAGCCCATCCCTCGACCATATGTTAGCCTCTTACGACACCCACGGGAAAGGAAGGGGTGGCCCTTTCTATACCAAGACCTACAAGGCGACCTTCATAGTTTGTTCGTATTTCTTATCTAAAATCATTTATAAATTTTAATATGAATATAACCTATTATCTATGTCATGTGTCAATGTACGATAAACTTATACAAACAAAGCATAAATTTGAAATAAATAATCAAAAATTGAGTTCCACAAAAAAAACCAACTTCAATTGTGGCAAAACCAGTTATTTTAAAAATTAAATTAAAATTGAAATACTGAACCTATATCAAAAAAAGTTGGTTCAAAAGTAGGTATACGCACACAGAAGTTTAATTACAGAAAATAAACCTTTAAATGCATAGATATACTACAAAAAATCAGTGATACTCGTAAAGTGTAGTATAATTGGCATACATGACTTATGCAAAATATTCTTAGTTACTACTAGCCCTTAGCCTCTTTTTTAACGCTAACCTGTAAGTACTCAAATAAAGATGCCTTTTTTATTTAAAACTATTGCAATTTCTAAGTCTGAAAATAATTTTAAAATTTTAATCTATAATTTGGCAAATTATATATAGTTGCTAACACTCATACTACTCTTTCCGTGAATTCAAATCACATCAGATACAGTTTTCGAAAGTTACACTTCGTATAACTTTATTATATAGAATAGGAGTAAATTTAATTTTAGTATTACCTAGAGAGTAAATGCTTTTCGTAAATAAATTATTGAATATCACTGCGCATACATTATTACACAAATATATCTTTAGTAAACTTATCCTTCTGAGCAAAGATAACCCTATTTGACTGCGAATAGTAACGCATACAAGTTCACTTATGAAGCTTGCTTGAAAACAAGGGTTTCTCACTACGTGACGTCCACATTTCCGATCCCTGTGTAATTTCAACATAGTCGTATTGTGTCCGCAACTACATACTTACCTATGCTGACCTATTTCCAGAAACCGTAATTGATTTTAGTCAATTTATTTGGTTGAAGGTGAGGGCACGTAGTTCTTAAATTGTTATAGGCTATATAAATATGTAAAGTCACAAAATTGAGGAAATCATTTATGATTTTCTTTAACAATAGTTTCGATTTTTCTCCGCAAAAAAAAAGAAACAAGTGCTTCAATCGTATCAAAATTAATGTCCAGTAAAATCAATTTTAATTGTGACAAAATTATTAAGGCATCAACATAGCAATAAACTATCAATTGCAAATATAAACATCAAAATCAGGTATACACGTAAAAAAGTAGTATCAACCTCTTCCTTTCTAAGGTCACTTAAAAATGAGAATCTCTCTTTGTTAATAAATCATTATTAAACAGTTATATAGATTTTAATGTAATCGAATAGTCAGAAATGCCAAATTTTAAACTAAGACAGAATACTTTTAATTCTAATTGACGTACACAAAGTGGAGACTTATAGCTAGTGATATATAATAAATCACAAATAAACGTGACGTAAAAGTAGGTAAAAACATAAAGCAAATTCATTAGATACAAGATTTTTATTTGTATAAAAATTGGATGTAAATTGTCGGCAGTATCCCTATAAAATACCAGGTACTATGGTGTTTACACATCGTCACATATGCACGTGCAAACGACTGTACATAAAAGGAGTTTGAATACGTGCCCGTGTATTAATGTACCTATAACATCACTCTCCTATTATCGGAAAAACTTCCCTATTTGATCAAGCAAGATGTAATAGAAATTCGAAATGTTTCTGGTATTCTATTACCTGTAGTGTTATGATTATGATATATGTACGAATAATAATTATAATATTTGATAATAGGTAAAGCCGTGACTATGTCCACTTGACCGAAATAAAATACAGTCTATATGTTTACACTAAATGTCACGTAAATAACGAATTTCATTAAAGATTACAGATTAATTAAAGATACCAAAAGGTAACAAATAAATAAACATAAATATACCCACTTTCACGTTTATAAATTATGATATCATATAATCATAATATAAAGATGTAGATATACAATGTAACAATAGAGGTCTTTAGCACTCTATACTCTTTACCTACCTCACAAGAAACTTGGCGTGAAAATATTGTCATAATATTATTTTGTAGGGTATGACAAACTTATTTTTGTTGTTTAAAATGGTAACCATTCACCATCAGCCTTACCATTTACCGTCTTATTAATGTTAGTATAACTACCTACTCTTATACACAGTTACAGGCATTTTTGTAGTGGGTAATAATGGAATGGTAACCCCACCCGCGCTATCGGTATACACTGGCGGGGCACCAATGAAGGATGATAGGTGAGGATGAAGCAGGTCAGTTAGACCATAGTGACGAATTCAAAAAGAATTGTTAACGATGGTTTCCAAGAGGGAACTACGTGATGGAGGTGGCAACCTAACCTAACCTAATAGGGCATATTGCTAACAATAGGGCAGTCAAACTCCATTGCTTACAATCCCTTTTCCCCCAGTTACAGGCATTAGTCAATGGTTATCGCTGCGGTGAATAACATATGACTTGCTTACATTTCGCTGAGTAGATTTGAATCCAACGCAGGAGGGGATAAGTCAAGTTATATCATCTCTATAATTAATTTTGTTTTTTCAACAAATTTTATCAATATTAAAGAATTAATTGGACATTTAAATTGTCATTTTTTTAATGTTTTTTGAAGTATTTGGATAACGGCCAAATTTTAACAAAGCTTTCCGAATCTTATAAGTCGTGGTAGTAAAACACTAAGCCTCACTGTTTATAATATTCAAGTATATTCATAAATATGAGTATATTCGTATGTATGAGTATATATTGTAACGTAAATGAATTAGAATATTATATTTAGATATCTACATACTACGAGTTACATTAACATATAAACAACCGACGCCCTAACCTACCTTCCCTAACCTTTATGTATATTTAACTAAACAAGACTCCTTGGTATTCAATTTACATTTAGTCTTGAACAGTTATCTTCCTTGTACATTATAATAGTTTATAATATTATAAATTTACATTTATTACAACGTCACTTCAACTTAGCATTTGTCTACTGTGACACAAGATTTCCAAATTGTTTTTCAAAACGTACAATCTCAAAGAATCTATAGGTATATATTGCTATTTTACCTTGCCAATCCTTAGACTAAAACAGCCAGTTACGTTCTTCTGCAGTATATTTACTAATATTTAAAATAGCAAACAAAATAACGACCCACCCAAGCGGCAACCGTCGCCTACAAAGTATAGACATGAACCTCACCATGAAGATCTCTAAATACCCTATGATACGTACTAATAATACCCTTCATGCATTACTATTCCTGAAGACTAGTATATGATATTTCAATTTTGAAGCATAGCCATGCCATAATTCACTAAGTAACATTAAACTTCCTGATAGCTAAGTGTAAGATCATATTATAGCTTCATTGATGCATTTCATCTTTAGACTGTGGTACTTGGGACGACCCTTTACATTACCAATCACTTATACCTAGTTTTCATATTTTCTACATTAAGTAATAAATTATGATACAGATCCTGTTAACAGTGTCCCTTGAGGAAACCTTATATAAAGGTATTATCGAAACACCCATTAAAACCTGCCAAGGTCGTGTCTAATTCGCATTAGCAGGGTTCAGCAAATGTACTTATTACACAAATATTTGGGTTTAACTTCTGTAAAGTATTAACATCAATCTCGCTCACTCACTTTTGAATAAATTAAGATTTTTCATTTCACTGTAAAAATTACAATAAAGAATGTGCAAATTTCATATGAAAAAGGCAATAATCATTTTTAATTATTCCAAAAAGAAGAAGAATTTCAGGTCGCCCAAATTTTTAGTGTGTATGTTATTTCAGTATTTATATGTACCTATGTCATTTTCTTATTTCTGTTATATTTACAAAAATACACTTTAAAAATATCTCTTATATACTTATATAAAAATACATCTACTTAGAAAAGATTTAAATTATTTATTCAGAGTGTTGTACGTTTTTCCGACTTATAAACCCCGAAGTCCGAATCTAGTCGGCATTAACAACTTTGAGTATCATTTTACTCATCGGTGTTAGTTACACCATTAACAAACCGTAATAATCCGAAAAACATGGTGGGCTCGCCCCCTTCCACGTTAGATTCAAATATGCTTAGTAAAATGTAGGAAAAACAAATAAGTTTTAGGTTCATTAAAACGATAGTCTCCAAGATTACCCCATTAGAGATTACAATCATAAGCATATTATTGTTTTAAATTAAAATTAATTATTTAATAGAAACAACAAATATTCGTATATTAATATATAGGTACTCACTTCTTTCCGCCTTCGTCATGCTCACATCATCTCTTCTCCAGAACTTGAGAAACGGAGCCAACGCCTTCATGGTACATTCTCCATTGAGTACTCGTCGACCTAACCGTTTTGGCACCTCTTGTTCAATCTCCGAACTGCGGCACGATGAGGAGTCATCACCAAGGGATCGAGTGCGGCGGCCTCCCCGGAAACTCACACACCCACAGCCTTCAGCTAAAGAGAACATGGTGGGACTTTTGTCCTTTCTGTATTTCTTATCTCTTTGTTTTCGTGTGCATCTTGGGGTCTTCTGTCTGGATTTCGGAATGGTGACTAGTAAGTCTCCGATTGGAATAAAAAAAAATATCTAACATCCCACAGGCTGAATGCCCAGGTATTACCTGTAAATAAATAAAAACAATATAAGTGTATAATAATTATTCTCTGTTCATAATTATTGATAAATAATTGAAACCATTTCTATAAAGATAACAGCAAAGATAACTTATTCCTAATTTTAATATATAATAGCCTTTCGTAAATTATAACTTATATGTTTGCAACAAACAGAATATAATATTTTTAGCAGCAGTATTTGATCTAATGTCGTACATTTCTCTACATTTTATTTAACAAGAAGTGAAAAGTAATATCTCAAATATTACTTTTCTCTTCGTAAATTCATTTATGTATTGAACGACTTCTATCATTTTCACAGAAATCCTATTCTTTTTAGAATTCTATATTACATCTCAGTATTTAGAGATACATCAGAAGGAGCGAGTCATTTTCTCATCCCTACCTCGTACATTAACAAAATAGTTCTAAACCAAAGACTAATAAAAATTAAACATCTACACGCAACTAAAAAATAAATATTCTGTGTGGAAAAGGTAATACATTTTATACATACTCCATACATTCTATCCTTATCACTACGTGATCCATCTCTTGGGTCACCAATGAGTGGACAAGTCTCTTGGAAATAAACTTTAACGATTTAAGCGCATTGGGACCCCATAAATCTAGGTTTTCAATTCCGAGTGGGATAAAAGTACCTATATTCGGAAACGAGGGCCCTATACTTTCTTTATTGTTGTTAGCCAGCTAAATCTGCCGATTTATTCGATCTGAAACATGTGACAGGGCCAACGTAATAAATGAAACAATTAATGTATTTAGGTCGATATGTGGGTATGTATATAATACCTATAAGTATGTATATTCCATGATGAAATGGTGAAAAATGTGTTTTGCCCAAATAACACTGCTCACTTAGAATCAATTATTATAAAATGTAACAATGGTTTTCATCATTTTTATTTCACGGGTATGTATACAAATAATATAATTTAAGATCGAACTCATTTTATTTTACGAGTCATAATCTGAAATTATTGAAGTTGCTAATTACGTTACTAGCTTATTTAAATTATTCATCAACCTAATTGCTTTACCGGTTAACCACTTAAAACTATTTCAATTTATAGAAAGGGTTTCATGTCAATGGGAAACTCTAAAACACACGCCTACATAGCTATTAGAATATGAATCCGTAAAGCAACTCACATCATCAAACACAAAAGACCCTGCTCTTTCCGTTTGAATGCCGGTTGTGACATAAGGCCGATTTACTTTATTTCCCTAGAGTTTTATGAGTTGACTAGAAAAATTCGAATTACAATTTCATTTATGAAACTATTTGTGACAAGATCATATCTATACAAAAACATTTCATTTTATTACTTTTAAATGTATAATTTTAAATATAATATTGAAATACAATACAATACTTACATTTTTATATACAATACCTGTAAATAATAAAATATCTATAAAAAGTAATATACAGTGTTAACAGATATAATCTATAGAAACCGGATATTTGAATACGAATTTTAGAGAATGATATTTCCGAATCAGTCTCAATATCACCAAAACGGATAAAACGGGTAGAGCGAATAAAAAATTAATCAGGTAGATCATTTTTTATATCTTTTATTTACAATATTAAATAAAATTGTATAAGTGTTTCCATACTCCGAATTTTTTATCAAAAAATATTTAGAATAGGAGGAAAATATTCACTGCATGTTCTTTTTTTCTTTTTTTAACCGACATCAAAAAGTTATTAAAGTAAGGCCAAGTAGTTATTAAATCAAAATAACTGATTTCGTCACATTTGAAATCAGTTTTTTTTTTTTTGTGGGTCACGATTTTTAATTATATGAGATGAGATGGCAAACAAGCATACTTGATTGTGCTATGAACACCTGTAATATCATGGACATTATGTGCGCGTTGCTGACCCTAAAGAAACCTTTTTATCCCTTTTTTGAAGAACTCTAAATAGAACTTGAAATTTTCAAAGAAAATGTAGATACCTACTAAGTACATGATAATATTATGCGAGCAATCACGAAAAAGTAACAAGCATCAACATTAGTCAATTTTGATTCTACATAGGTGATTGTATTACATGTACTAACCTATTCACTATTTAACACACGTATCTCTTTATTAGGGAAAGCTCAAAGTCCACAGAGAGTTTCAATAGACTTAATGAAAAGGTAATCAAATTTTGTTGAAATTCTCACAGCAACACTCTCTAAATGATATTAGTAATGAATCAAAACATTCAATTAATTAATCGATTTTTTATTTGTACTATTAAATATCAAAGATTGTCTTTTGATCAGATCAGTTATTCGTTTGTTCACATTATTATTGAGATCCATTTAAAAATACCGGCCACGCAACTCGGTAGTTATTGGTTTTTTAAGTTTTCCTTCTCTTGCATTTTCACCAATTCGAGTAAAAGAAATTTGAAATAAAACTTTGTTCTCTTAGTCCCCGATTAGATCCCATGGAGATCAAAGAAACAGTAACACTTTGTATTTTTACTCCGTCGCCACACAAAGTACCCACATATATATAATTATATAAAGAAAATTCTTTTTTTTTCATTTCATGTGCCGTAAGAAATTTAATATAATATATAGGTGCTTATAAATAAATGTGCACAAGACCACGGATGAAATGATGGTTCGAGGTTGCCTTCCTTTTAATTATTTAGAAATAGGTAAGTATGTATTAGTAACAAATTAATTTTACGTTTAATTATTTTGATTTTTTATCATTATATTTTTATACCACAAAGATGGTAAACAAGCATACAGCTCGTCTGATGGTAAACGGTCACTGTAACAACCATTTGCGTTTTAGTGTATGAGGATGAATTCCTTGTTAATGGAGAGCGGTGAGGTGATGAAACGTAGCTGTGTGATATATTTATTATATGTTTTTTGCACAAAAAATAGCTACTGCAATACTTAAAACGATCATATAAGACCAACACATTAGTAGACTGTATCAATTGCAAGAAACTGATAAAAAACGTTGGAGAATCTACAACGATACGAATAAAGAAAATGCCATTTCTAATAATCTCCACACTTAGAATAATACGCACACCTGCTTCAATTTGCTTGCATTAGAAGTAGCGAAATTTTCAAATATTAATGGACATAATGCTTTTATACCATAACAATCCCTGAATTTAGGATTGTACCGCGTTCATGCTTACCTTTCCCTTTCCTACGCATATACATGCGGGCATGTCTCATTTATTATTTAGTCCTGGTAAAACATACTTTGTTGATGTGGTAAACTTAGTTTATAATACAAAAAATACACTAAAAAATAACCTTTCGATGTACATTACATGGTTCAATCTAAAGACAAATTATTTAAGGCAAAGTAACAATTTTAGACATTAAACATAAAATGTATATAGAGGTATATATATAGGTGATGTTTCCACATTAATAGTTCACTAAAATAATACAGTACAATTAAGCTCCAAAATCGGTTTCTGCATATGCCTAACTCGGCGCTATCCATATAATCTTCTTCTTCGAGTTTCAATTATATCAGAAGTTGAATAGCATCAAGACTATTTTTATTTTTGAAGCTACTGATCTGAAGAACAAACCACCCCCCCCCCCCTCCCACTCTTAAACAAAGTGCAAAGGAATGTATCGATATATAAGCGTTTTGGGTGTGCTGCCTAAAACGAGAATTTATTACATGAGAAATAATAAAAACGGTGTACATCTCACAATTTCATTCCTTCTCAAAAATTCAAAACTTGCTAGCGATAACGATTCTAGTAATAGATATTTTTTTTTAGGTTACGGTACAATAAGGCATTCCATTCTCCCTATTGGGTACAGACGACGGGATGCCTAGTAGTGGGTACACGGTGCAAAACTAATTAATTAATTAGCTAGGAGTGTCGTCTCCTGCCGGCATTTCTTTTCCAGCAATCTTTCTCTGAACGATTAACTGGTATCCTGTATTTGTCTAACTACACGTATACAATAAATGAAAATAATTTGGAACAAAAACCTTCCGATAGTCAATGTAAACATAGAATAAGATTTTATAGGCATCCAGAAAGTTTCTTACAAACATAATCAGAAAGTTTATAGTCACTGAAGTAAAATTTGTCGATAAGTAACTAAATCTAGTATAAGTTTCGTAATATAAGTAGTAGGAAGACAGGAATCGGCGATTTTATTGTTATAAGAAACCAGAAAATTAACATCTAAGGGTACCATATAACATCTTTATTTATAACCCGTAAAATTAATTGTTTAAAACTAAATGTTTATTCATGATTTGTTCTGCCCATGACTTTTGTCTCATTAGTCCCGAAATGTACCCTATTCCCCTATTTATATCAAATACTACATACGACAGAAGCTTAACTTTATCATGACTAGAAGTGCCAACTTTATTGCAGCAGTTTTTAAATTTTATTTCATTTGTAAAGATTAGACACTTATTTCTATATTTCATTACATAATTTTAATAATGTATATGTTATATGTATGTTATATTACTATATGTACGTATACGTTTGTGATACAAAAGAGAGTATTAAATAAATACATAATATACAAAAGTATTTAGCAAATGCCATTTTCCCTTTTCATTTAAATCACGTCACGAAGCTCTAAGCAAATAGAAGCAGGGTTGTAAGACATAAAACGTAATAAACGATTCGAACGTGATTCGAAATTAAAGTACACCTTAACAACCTTAAAATGGAAAGCATTATATTTCTGCAAAATAAAGATGTGCGTATATTATTGTTAATATTTCAAAATTGTTAAAACAATAAGAACTATTTAAATACTCTAGTCTAATATTTATTGCATCGCTAAGAAGCCTGTTAACTATTTTTTTTTTGTTTATTCAGTAAAGCGATATTATTTTCTTACTGAGACCTAAATTTGAATTAGAATTAAAACTTATGAAATACCGAAAGAAGCTGCCGCAATAAAAATGAAACTTCGACAACTACTCATAATAATGTACTTTTTCAGTTGTTGTT